TGGTGGAGGGGATCTGGAGGGGTTGGGGGCTGTTGGAGGGGTCCTGAGCTATCAGGGAGGGGATCTGAAGGGGAGGGGGGCTGTTGGAGAAATCCTGGGCTATGGGGCTTGCATGGTGTTTTTTGTTGTCAGTGGGACTACTCCTGTGCTTAAGTGCTTTGCTGTATCAAGCCCACGTGCTCAGCACCTTGCAGGCTGAAGCCCCAGCTAGGAGTGGCCTGGGAAGAGCAGAATGTATCTATTGAGCAGGATAAGCTAGTTTTAGCTATGCCTTCCGCTTGTGTAGTGTAAAATTCACTCCCAAGTGTCGGGCTAGCCCAAAGCACCCAGGACCCTATCGGAGTGATGTCTAGGACTTGTACTGGCCCTCTGCAGAGAAGTGAATTTCATCCATGATTTGGTAGAAGACAAGTAGGATTTTCTCAGCAGCGAGAGAGCAATCCTAAGAATATTTTCTTCTTCTGTTGTGTCCTGGGGCCCACAGCCCAATTATTCTGCTAGTGCTAGGCATCATACTTTTTATTTCAGCCTGATTCAAACCTAGAAACTCTTGTCAGCTTCAACCATGGATTTTTTGGATAATATAAGGCAGTGGTTCTCAAACTTTTGTACTGGTGACCTCTTTCCCACAGCGAGCCTACGACTGTGACCCCCTTATAAATTAAAACCACATTTTTAAAATATTTAACACTATTATAAATGCTGGAGGCGAAGCGGGGCTTGGTGGTGGAGGCTGACCGCTCATGACCCCCCACATAATAACTTTGTGACCCCCAAAGGGTCAGGCCCCCCAGTTTGCAAACCCCTGATAAGTTGTTCATTGTGTGCACATCATTGTTAAATGGCAAACTGCAATTCCATTTGCTTTTCATACATACATTTGCTAATCTCTTTCAATTTATGATGACTTAATAATCTATTTTGTCACACAATCAGGAATAGACCTGGCAAGTCAAACATAGCTGCTGGGCCGGGATAAATTTACAGACAGAAAAAGTCATATCCATTTATTTTGGACCATGGTGTAAGCCATTTAATTTTAATGCCATAGCTCAGGTTTAATAAATATAATCTCAGGAGAGTAGAAGTTGCTCATCGTTCAAGAGTATTATTGGAATTACTGTAGCATCCCCGTATAATCATTAAATATTGTGTTCTAAACAGCACATTACACTGAGAGATTGTCAGGCTCCACAACAATGTAAATATTTACATGGAGTTTACTAAACTTCCAGGTTCGTTGAACTAGTTTTTAAGCCCCAGTTCTGTTAGTATATTAAACTCTCGACTGATTAGATTGGTTTGGATGTGCTGCCTGGTTCTGTTCTTTATTGTTATTTTTTCTTTTACAGCACCCAAAAATGCATCACTCCTTACAGTACAAGATAAATTGCACATAGTTCTTAACTTAGAGAGTTTACACTCCTTTCACTCAGGATGTAACCAGGGAAACAAGCAATTGGCTGGGGGTTCTGCTGGCAAAGAAACAGCTCACACTATAAGATGACATTGGCCTTGGCTACACTGGCAATTCACAGCGCTGCACTTGCTGCGCTCAGGGGTGTGAAAAAACACCCCCCCTGAGTGCAGCGAGTGCAGCG